GGGCTCCCTCCGCTCCGCTCCGCTCCGGCCGCCCGCGCCGCGCACTTTATGCTGCCGCCGCCGCGGCTTTCCTGTGCGTCAGTGCTGGAGCCTGCCCTTCCTGCCCCGGCCCCGCTCCCCGGGGCTCCCGCACCCCGCCGGCCCCGGGGCAAGCCCGCCTCTGCGCCTTCCCCTCCCGTCTCACCCGGGAGCCCGAGGCGGGGTGAAGGCCGGGCTGCTCCTGGCTCGTGGGAAGTACGCGCCTCTCGGGCGCCGCGCGGCAGCTCTCCTGAGCCCAGCGGCGCCTCGGGAGCCTTTCTCGAGGTGATGAGAGAAACCCAGGGCTTGTGTAAAAGTGCCTTTACACCGGCTGAAAGTTCCTGCGCGGCGCACAGGAATCGGCTGGTGTTGACATGTGCAGGCTTAAGGCACATTCACACTGTGTGTGGACCATTGGCGACGCGTAGGGGTGCACGCGGGTGCACGCGCACCCTCTGAGATCGGCCGTGCACCCCTGGAAGCACCTCTCCCCCCATCAGTCCCCCCCAGACTCGGGAGGTACCAGTCACCCATGGTGTGGACAGATTTGGGATTATAGTCCCACATCCAAGTCAGTCCACACACACACAGCAGTGCTGGGTGTCCAGACTGTGGTTCTTCACAGCCAAGGTGCCTAGACTGGAATAAACTCCCTCCAGAGGTGGTGCAATCGCCTACCCTGGAAATCTTCCAAATTAGACTGGACGTCACCTTGCTGGGGTCACCTGACCCCACTTGTCTTTCCTGCCTGGTGCAGGGGGCTGGACCCGACGATCTTCCGAGGTCCTTTCTAGCCTGTAACCTATCAATCCATACAAGAGCGTTACTGTGCCGTAACAAATCAGGCATACATTTTAGACTTGCATGATACAAGTGTCAAATTTACACTCAAGTTGGCATAAGTCACCCATACTGCGCAGTAATTTCAGTTACTGTGCAGTAAAAGTGCACGTGTAGATGCACCCCAAGAGATTCAAATAGGAATCAACTTGCTGTAGTCTTGCTGAGCTCTGCCACAGAAGAACCCCTCTCCTATTTTTCTGCAGTCAAAAAAGCAATTCAAAACCAAGAGCTGGCATTTTCCAAGGGCAGCCTCCATTCTGAAAAGTTAAGGACCGCTGCCTTCCTCCGAAGGCTAAGGGCATCCAAAGTGGATTCTTTTGTCCCCCTTTACTAGTTCCTACTCTAGCCAGCAAACTACTGTGCCTCAGCCAGGCATCAATTGGTGAAAGGTTTTACCACTGTTGGCAATTCAGTCAGGAGGCCGGCAAGGGAACTGGCAATTCAGTCAGGAGGCTGGCAAGAGAACCCAATCATCTTCTTGGAGATGATTGGGGAACAAAAGATTTTAGAGGAATTTCTGGTATTCTTGCTGCCGGTTCCATTTTGCAGGTTTCAAACTGGACGTATGTTCCAGGGCTTTGTAAAAATGGCAGCTGCCTTTTACTTTTTTTTATCAAAATAATGTTTGAGATCACTGCTGAGTATTTTTATGTCCGACAGCTGCAACAATAACATTGTCATCTCAACACCATTTCAGTAAGAAATTGGATTCAAAATACCAGTGGCAGAAACCTTAGCAAAAAGGGGGAAAAAAAGGAAAATTGTTAAGAGGTTGAAAATTATTTGTAAAGAATTAGTTTCGCGGGAAATTCTAATTTTCATCAGAAAAAATACCAACAAGTAAAAGAATCCAGAAATGAAAAAGTTGACAGTCTATTTATTATCATAACACTTTTATCTATAAATAAAAATATGAGTCTGGGTAGAAAGCTACATTTCCTTTTAATTTCCACCAATCTGCTATCAATATACAAAGAGACCGTACATCCTAATAGAATTTTCCTGTTTTTCAGTTGGGCAAGATGATCTCTCCTAGTCCAAAGGCTGGTCAGTCAAATGTCACATTTTGACACGCTTGGCTGATTGAACAACTTTCATAAGTTAAGCTGCTGGTTAATAGTAGCTATGAAGCAAGAAACTCTTGTGAAGAATCTGTTCATAAAGTAGTACTAAAGGTATGAAAATATCAGTTTGCAGTTTATGAAACTTTATGTGCAATGGCTATCATTATCTATATTTCTTCCTAGCAATGACCAACGTGTGATAACTTCTTTCCTAACTAAAATAAGCCTTAATCCCTGACCAAAGGAGTTTGCATTCTAAACTCAGAGGCTGCATCTACATGTGCCACTAGGAGGCAGCAATAAACTAGGGAGTTTACTGCCCCTGGGAAGCTCCCAGGTGTGGGTCTGCATGTATGCCTGGACTGCAGCACACTGAGCCAGGTTGTAGCAGCTCTGGCTGGCAGGGGATCCCAGGGGACACCTGCTAAATACACTGTATGCCTTGCTTTTGAGGTCCAAGGCACACTGCTGTACTTCACCTACATGTTGCTTCTGTGCTAGTTTTATAGGCACTTTGTAAGGTCTAAAGAGTGGGCACATCTACATGTGCCCTGAAGGCACCATGGTTACTGTGCTGTCATTTAGTAATTCCTTCTGGGAGTACTAAATGATTGCACAGTAACAGCCCATACTGTGCCAGGCGTGCTGCGCATGGTTATTTTTAGCAGCTACGTCACTGTAGCAATGCCCTATACTGAGGGAGTATGTCGCTGTGGCCACATAGCTGCAGCATCAGGGTTTTTGCCCTTGGATGCTTGTGGTAGGGCACTGTGTGTGCCTGCCCCTTTAAGGGCCTGGGGCTGGCCGC